GACGAGCTACGTCGTGCGCACGTGTCACCATCTATGCATTCTACTTGGGACCCCGATAGGCATGGTTACTTGGATCAGTCTATATTTTTGGGCCAAGATCAAACAAAAGAAAAGAGAGAAGAAGCAGAAGAAGCTGTCGAGGAGAGAAACGCGTCGTGCAGTACATGTTTGCTTGCAGTCCAAGAAGCTGTGCTTGTATTTGGTGTTGTTGTATACACACACGCAGTGTGCAGTGGCAATGGAAGAAGCATTGAGACAATTGACAGAGATCACAGCTACAAACTCTCAACAGATTCAGCAGCTGGCACCAAGAAGCATCAGTGGCGCAAACCAGGCATTGGCGCAACAAGCAGAACTCACAGCAAATGCAGTTGCAGCCACAGCAAAGCTCACCTCAGAAGCTGTGGAAAATGTTGCACGCCGAGCAGAATCAAGAAGACCTGGAGATGTCGAACTTCACAAGCTGATCAAAGCCCCAGAGAAGTGTTTGGACCCAGCACTTACAAAGAAGAACGAGATGGTTTTCTGGAGTTATAAGGTAAAGCCCAAGCAAGAAAGTTGCACTTCATTCTTACCTCCTGCACCAAAGGAAGACCATTGAGAACGATCAAGCAGGTAGCAAGCGAAAATGGATTTGAAGCTTGGAGAATGTTGGTTGAAGAGCATCAGCCCCACACAAGAGCAAGAAGCTTACAACAGTCCTCAACCACAAGTTTCGATGCCAAGAAGTCAACTTCAGAGAACTTGCTGAAATTCGAAGAGATGATCGAAGAGTATGAACGAGCCAGCGGTTCAGTTATGGATGATGATTTGAAGGTGACCACCAAGAACAGGCTAACATGGACATTAGCAGATTGAAGACAAAGGAAAAAGGCAAGTTCTGAAGGAAAAAGGCAAGTGGAGCCACAAAGGTAAAAAGAAAAGCAGTTTGGAGAATACAAAGAAGTTTGGAGGAAAGAAAGATTGAGGAAAAGAAGAGTTCCAGCACTCAGGAAAGGACAAGGAAGAGAATTTAAAGGCAGAGGAAAGAAAGGACGAGGTTTGGTCAAAAGGAAAAGGAAAAAGACACAACAAAGGAGAAAAAGAAAAAGAACATTGTGCAGGTGTTTGCCACTACTGTCAGAAGCCAGGACATTTCGAAGCTCAGTGCAGGTTAAAGCAAAAGGACTTCAAAATGGGAACAGTCAGATGAGCTCAAGAAGATGATGCCCAAAGTGTCGAGCAAAGCACCACACTTAGACACACTCCCAAGTGTTCCACATTGGAGAAGAGCCCCAGAACTTTCCCGAAGTCTTACAAAGTTAAGATTTCGTACTTTGGTATTCTCCGCGTTGCAGAAGGGAGCACGCTCCGCTGCCACGTGGCAACTCTCACCCACACAAGGCCCTATTGAGAATTGACTTCAATCCTTTTGTAAAGCGGACTTCCTTCGTTGCAGGGTTTCTGCACTTTGCCTCTGAGTAAGCATGTCGATGCCATGTGGACGTCCAGAACATTTCATGGAAGAGGGAGTGAAGAGTGTGCGTTCTGGCCAGGCCAGAGACCTTACGCCGCCCTATGCTGCCAGAAGGCACGCTGTAAGTAAGCCTGGTGGGAGCCGAGAAGGAGTGACAAGTTCTGAGTCCGAGTGGTGGAGCCATTCGGAATCCCAAGGCTGAACACTACGTCCCGAAGTTGCCAGATGGCAATGGCTGGAAAGACTACCATCTTTGAACCGAACGTTGGAGAAAGGGCAGAGTGTATGTTCGACACGTCTGTTCTTGTACCTTAGGCAAGCCATGCAAGGGTGCAGCAGGGGTTTGGACATTCTGAAGCAAGTGGAGAAGGAGCAGCTTGGTGTTCTAGCAGGATATAAAGCCATTCGCCGACTTCACAAAGACTTGAGCGTTGGTTCACGCATCGAGGCTTTAACTCTGAGGGATGAGATGCTTCGTTTTAAGGCCAGAGCGGGCTGGGACAGGCCACTTGATACCTTTAGAGCCATTCAAGTTGAAGTTGCAAAGTTTGCACGATTGATTGGAGGGTTCCCAGACCTGAAGCTCACAGAGCCCGACTGTTGCATGGTTGTCTTGAAGAATCTTGGAGTTGAAGTAAAGCGATACATTCTTCTCCATGCGAAGATTGACTCCATGGCCGCTTTAGAAGAAGCCATCAAGTTTTACAACAGCAACTTGAAGATCCTGCAGTTTGCTGATGGAAAGGGAAAGGGCCGAGAAAGGGACGATCATGCGAACCCACTTGAGTTCCCGAACGCCAAGGGTGGTGGAAAGGAGAAGAACGCCAAAGGAAACCCGAAGGGCGGAAAGGGAGGTAATAAGGGCAGCAAAGACAATACCAAGGGTGGAAAGGACAAGAGGGGGAAAGGCGAGAAAGGCAAAAAGGGCGATAAGAATGATCCCAAGAAGGGAAAAGGGAAAGATTAGGCCAACCAAGCCACTGCAGAGAACAAGAAAAGGGGCAAGGTTTGTTACAATTGCCACGGAAGAGGGCCATTTTGCACGCGATTGCCCCAAGCCAAGGCAAGAGGGTCAGTCGAAGGGTTCTGGCAAGGCCAAGGCAGCCACGGTTTTGCTTGAGCCTGAGTTGTGTGCAGCGGTTCACTTCAGCTTGTTCGAAGCAGACTCCGATGACGATGCTTTTTCGGAGACGTCGCTCGACTTCAGTGAAGCTGACTGGAGGGAAATGGTTGAGCGGGAGGGTTTGGAGCCGGAGTTGTCGCCACTTGAAGTTGCCGAGGGTTCGTCGCTTGATGTTGCCGAAAGTCCTGTGGAGCCATCTGAGGGGAATTTGCCGCTTGAAGTTGCCCAGGGTTCGTTGCTTGACGTCGCCAAGGGTTCTTGCCAGTCAGTGAGCAAGGGTTCGCCGCTTGAAGTTGCTGAGGGTTCGTCGCTTGATGCCGCCAAGGGTCAATTTTATTTTAAAAATCTGCATGACACACGAGGGTCCACCGCTTGCAGCAGCATGTACATAGGGCAGCAGCAGCATGACATGCATGACGTAGCTTTCGCCGCGCCGTCCGATGGCAATGGTGGCGAGCACTGGCTTCTCGACTCAGGAGCGAGTGTCCACCTTGTGAGCCAGAGCATGGTAGAGAGCGGTGCTGCAGTCATTGTTGAGCGGTTAGGGGCCAGCAGTGTAGGGTGTGTTACTGCAACAGGTGACGCGATTCAGGTGCAGTTTAAAGCAAGGGTTAGGGCACGCATGTTGCTTGAGACCAGTCCACAGAGTGGAGCGTGTGCCACAGTGACTTTTGAAGCCCTTGTAGCGCCTGTTCAGTTTTCCCTTTTAAGCGTCGGCCGTCTGCTAGAGAAAGGATGGAACGTGGACTTCGGGGGTTCTTCTGGTAGAGCTAGCGTTTGCGTTGGTTCCACTGCCCTGAAGGTCGTTCCATTCCAGAAGTGTTTTTGGCTTGAGTCCCCGCCCCGTAGCGAGTCCTCATCCGCTGCTTTGTCCGCCAGCCCCGATGTCTTCGTCTGCAGAGGAACGTCAGAAGCGCATCTACCGGCCAATTCCGATCACCACAACGGCGGTGCAGGAGGCCACAACAACCGACACAGTGGTGTTGAACCGAGCTGCAGGGAGCCAGGGCACCGAAGTGGAGAAAGTTGCCACAGAGGGTCAGGGTTCGAAGGGCAGCACGGAGAGCAAGGGCGTCTTGGAGACCACGGAGAGCAAGGGCGTCGAGGGTTCGGTGGAGACCACGAAGAGCAAGGGCGTCGAGGGTTCGGTGGAGACCACGGAGGGCCAGGGCGTCAAGGGTTCCTTGAAGAAAGTTGCCACGGAGAGCAAGGGTTCGAAGGGCAGCACGGAGGGCCAGGGCGTCGAGGGTTCCCCGGAGACCACGAATGTCATGATGCCCAGCGGAGAGGGTGTGTTGAGGCACCAGAGTGACAAGGCACGGCACTGCCTTGGCGCGCGGCATGATGAAAAAGGCACTCCATGTGACAAAAGGCGCAACACTGAATGTCAAGCCCCAAGTGCACGCAGGTTCGAGGCAAGCAGTCAGGAATGCGAAGTTTTGCGCGAGCCTGCATGTGCCTGTGGCCTGGGCAACGGAAGTCCTGCCAATGCAGGTGGGTGGGGACTGTTTACTAAGTGTGCGACCGAGAGCCTCTTCCATGCATATAAATCTGTAAGGACCTGCAGCAGCAAAAGGGCACCCTTTGAAATCCGACCCCCAAAAGCATGCCCTTTCCTAGTATATGCGAACTACTCAGTCCATGCACCATGTATGCTGAAGGCAAACGATCAAAACAATTTGCAAGTCTGAAAAGGCAAGTGGTGAGCCGGGCACAGGGAAACTCACGTGTGGGGGAAAAGCCTGCTCGCTGTGCAACTCATGCATCAGCCTTCACACCATCTCTAGAGCGCTTGGTTGTGCGAAGGTGCGCGAAGGCCAGTGAAAACACTGTGAAGAGAACATCCTCGCGTAGAGCGATCAGATTCAAACTCGAACTGCTGCCGGCACGACTACAAGCTTTGCAAGCGTCGCAACGGTCCGGCAAAGAGCTGCGGTTTGCTGCGCTTGCCTTGATGCAAGCAGCACTGACCCCTTAGACCCCTTGTGCGGTTTCAAGAACGGGTGCTAATCACCCAAAGTACCCTGAACCCTAACCCCTTCATTTTGGGTTTGGGGGTTTTGGCGGGTAGGTGCTTTGACAACTTTCGTCTTTAAAGCAGACTTTGCCGAAGTTCTGAAGCATCTCTGCAGCCCCCCGTGCTTGGGAGGGGGGGGGCAGAAAATGTAGATTGGGGATTATGTGGGTCAACCCTACAACAGGAGCAGGACATATAGGCGAGGACAAGTGTCATTTCACTTGCAGGCGGCATCACTCAAAGGAAAAGCCTTAGTCTCGGGCCGTACGCGAAGCGACAAAGGCCCTCAAGACTACACAGCAACTATGTTGGCCAGCATGGCCACACTCATTTTGAGATAGCGAAATAGAAACAATTTTTTTTCCTTAGAACAGGGAAAAGGCGCCAAGGAAACAACAAAGGGATCACCCTTCGGTCAGGAATTGTAGGTACTGCTCAGATGCCATAGCAGAGATGCGAATGGCTCCGGTGGTCCATTGTCTGGCTTGCTCCAGAGTGTGGAACCACCGGTTGCGTTCAGAGTCCGACCGGCGTCGTTCCATGAGGCTGCCAGCCTCGTGGTCTGCATCGTTATTTAAACGACGGCACACTTCAACATCTATCCCAGGTGGCCCTACCCAGGAAGGTTTTTTGCCATGGGATGGGACCCAGACTATCTCACAGTGAACGCCCAAAAGGGCTGCGCGGCGCAAATGACCCTGGATTGACGCCGCCATAAGGGGCAACGCAAGACTCTCAGGGATGGAAGTTGCGTGCCGGATGGCAGCTTGGCAGTCACACAGGACGATGATTCGTCCTTGGATACCCCTTTCGGCGGCTCGTACCGCGGCTAAGGTCAGAGCGAGGAGGGCCTGGCATTCCGCTTGAAAACTGGTTTGGTCTTCACCTGCATGACCCGCTGCAAACTTAACGGGCGTCGGGCTCGCCCGAATGACTATGGCAAATGCAGAGATAGAATGTTTAGACGATCCATCTGTGGCCACAAGCACAGGGTCGCCCTTTGCGCAACTCAAAGCTTTGTGAAGGGCTTGCGCGACAGATTGTTGAAGCGAGGCTAAACCCACCTCGGATGGGGCTGGAGGAAACTCGTCTATTTGCGTGGCAAATAAGCGTTCCTCTGCACGATGCACGGGCATGCGAAAGCCATGGCGCAGCTGACTGGTAGCGTCGCAGTTCCACGTTAAGTGTGGGCGCGACGGTTTGCCCAGCCCGCACATGCATTGTTCCTGAAGGTGATCTGTCCGCCTTCTGCGCTGGGCCGGTTGGTGGTACCAGAAACTTCCCCCGGAAGCCGCGGCAGCTCGGTGCAATGCAATCGAGCCGTGGGACTCGTGAACAATACGATGGGCTGAAAAGTCAAAGCGTGATCGTGCTGGCGGCTGCGGTAGATCAAGGCCACGGGCCAAGCTGGGATCTTGCCTATGAAAGGACTGTCGGATTCGCCCGCATTCCTGGACAGCGATGGCCCTATGATGCTCCGAAAGCCAAGCCTCGAGGATGCAGAAGTTATCCCATCCAAAGCGGAAAATTCTGGGCCTGCCCTGATCATCGACGCGCTGGATAGAGTTGCCACCTTCCGTGGCTCGCCATCTTAAACGACCCATCAGCTCTTTGGCTCCACCTAACAGTTCAAACCACTTGTGCTGGGTGGTGGGGTGTGGATCCCTCTTGCACTGCATCGCATCCGCCACGCGCATCTAAGCGTAGCTCTGTCGGAACAGTATTGGGGGTCAGATTCCCACCCAAGGAGTTCGGACCGAATAACACGCGGTGCTTCAAAAGTGAAATTACCATGGAGAGTTCCTTTAACAGCCTGTGTTAGGTTTTTGATGCCTGCTTTGTCGACTTGGGCAACACCAGCGCACCAAAACGCCATGGAGAAAACTAACGTACGGATGAGTAAAGACTTCTCGCTCGCAACAGAGCCAATGCTCTTGACAGCCCGCAGTCGGTGCAGGGCCTTGTGAAGGTCAAGTTTAAGGGGGGCCCCATTGCCACTGGTGAGGTCAAGGCGGACCCCAAGCATGGGCAGCTCCTGCATGTGTGGATAACCTTTGTCACGTGCAAGGCGTGCCATGGTTGCGCTTCCCGGCTTTGAGATCCAAGCGCATTTGCTTGGTCGGCATTGTAACCCGCACGCCTTATCAAAGCGCGAGCTGCGATCCAGCGCGGCCCTGAAAGCAGACAGGTCATGGGCCCCTGGTTTGAGCCACAGTAGCCTGTCATCGACATAACACAGCGGTTCTGCATGATCCGAGGCCACATGTTGGGCCCATATGTGTCCAACACAAAGTGCCAACATGGGTGATAATGGGCACCCCTGCATGACGCCGGCGGTGGACTTGTGCCATGCAGGCTGGACTGCATCTTTGTAGCGAAACAAACGCATGGGTGCGAGATAATAGGCTTTAATAATGCTGATGATCTGCCTCGGAGCTCGCAGGTGCGCGAGGATGGGTTCGAGCACGGGCATCGTCAACGAATCGAAGAAGGCAGTGAGGTCTTCGAAAATGAATTCAGAGACACCGTCATCTAGCGCTTGAAGGACTTTGAGGTGTGCATCGGTTACGCTTTTACCAGGGGCACCACCAAAGGACCTCTCATCGACAAAACTCATGAGCCAAGGGCGGAGACATCGGGCGAGGACTCGTGCCCCGCATCTCCACATGATGCATGCCAAACAGATGGGTCTTGACTCATCCGTTTTCTTTGGTATCAAGGTGACCGTGGATTCGGTCCAACGCTTGGGGAGTTGGCCCAAGGCCAGCGCTTTGTTCCATAGTCTTGCTGCCGCATTCCAAAAAGTTTCAGGCAGCCGATGAAGGTGTTCAGGCAGCCAGGAGTCCGGCCCAGGAGCTTTGCCAAACATCGCCTTATTAGCGGCGCGCAATGATTCTGCATCGATGGTCAAATTTACATCGGGGGCCTTCGGTTGAGGAACAGACTCTAAAATGGTTATTAGGTCCAAACCATCGTTAGGGCGGTTAGGGTTGGCCGTCCATTTGTCTCCCCAAATTTTTGCTTGCTGCGTGAGGAAGGAAACCGGATGGATTGCCTGTGGGGCATCTTGCACCGCCTGGTAGGGCTTCTCAAAGTCGAGAGTTTCGTCAGCCCGTCGCTTGACCCAGGCTATTTGGGCATTGAGATTGCTTCGTGTGTGGGCTCGCCACCTGCTTATGGCGATACTTTTCTCCTGCTGCTCAAACTCCTGCACCATGCTATCAACAGAAGGGCACAACAGTTCTAAATTGTCAAAACTTTGAAAGGGGATATCGATGCCCTTGGCACGAATGCCTGTCAAGGACTTTTTAATGCGCATTCGAAGTGGTGGATCATTGGGATTCCGGGCCAGCTGGTGCAGACGATAGCTGAGCCGTCTGAGGCGCTGTAGCGTTGCAGACTCGTGGCCTTTGGCGCCAATACGTTGTTTCTTTGGTGCAGCAGATTGCGGAGAGAAAGCCTCGTCACGGCGGATGCCCTTTTCGGGCTGCTCACACAACGCCTGTTCAGCCGCACGTGACAAGTTGGCCCAGGCGTTATCAAGCCGTTCCATATTAAGGTGTTCTTGGAAGACAGTATCATCCCAACACTGCTGGAACAGGCATTCAATCGTCTTGGGACATTCACGGGTGACAGGGGGCCGCTGAGGAAGTACGTATTGACCATGAGCAGTGATCTGGGCAATATCGTACACAGGAACTACGTGATCCCCTAAACCGGGAAAATGGCGGAAAGCACTTGCAGCAAAGCATCGACTGGACAACGCGTAGTCAATGCGCCGTGTGCCTGTGGGACCGGTGTTAGGAAGTTGTTGAAAAAGGAAATCCTCATCCAAGCTTTTGAGTCGTCCATCCATCAGCATTTCCCTAACTCGGCCTTCGTCAATCTGAAGATTGAAGTCTCCGAGGATGATGCACGGGCCTCCAAAAAGGCGTATGGCGGTGTGAATTTCATCAAGGGCTTCTCCAGTTGCATGGCGGTCATCAGGAAAGCCATAGAAGGATATTACCAAAACCTTAGTGGGGAACTTATTGAGGTAGACCTCCACCAGCCCCGCCGCACAGCGAGTTGAAGCCAACTCAAGCTGCAAGTCAACGGGGTGAATGGGCACGCTAGAAACCAGGGCAACCCTATGCTTAAGGGAAAGGTTTTCGGATTTGCTCAAGATGAGCTTGCAACCGTGGGCCTTCCATTCACGGTGGACCGCTTGACTGGCGAGTGTTCCAACATCAACCTCCTGCATGGCCAGCACCTGCATGTTGGCATGTCGCATGAGGTTGTGTGTGGCCTTAACTAGCTGCTCACCCTTGCGATTGATGTTCATGGTGCCTACGCAGATGAAGGCTGTGCAGGGAGGGACACTGTGAGGGCGCTCTCCGCCCCGGTGAAGATGGAGTCGAACATCTCCTCTGGGATGTCGTGCTTCCTGGGGTTGGCTTTACCCCATTTTTGTAGCCTGCGCAATTCTTTGAGCCTAATGACAGAGTTTTTACGGGCATTGTCTGGGTTGCATCGGGGGTTGTCTCCATGGACAAGAATTTCCTTAGGACGATCGCATCCCCCACATATCCCACACTTCCAAGCTCCTAACACCATGATGCCAATGATGGTCTTAGATTTGGGGGGGCGCTTTGCCAGGGGCCAACTGAACTTGCTGTGTCCCTTTTTAATCAGCTCCATGTCATCGCGGCATTTGGCAGCAGCGAAGCGGTTGATGCTGAGGATGCGCGTGGCTTGGCGAGAGCAATTATTGGCCTTTTGCCAGACTTTATCAGTCACTCGCGGGTGCGCCGCACGTCGATGCTTGCGCTTGACATCTTTCAAGGTTCCTTTGGAGATTTGCGCACGGACGCCGCTGAGAATCCCCTGGTCGCAAAAGTTGCAACGCCACGCGTACGACTTGCCTGCTTCGACCTTGGAGATGACTTGTTTCCGTTTTGCCCGTCCTGGCAAGCCGGCACCATTATGGTACTGCATCGAGTGTCTATACCGGATTTCGGAGTACTGCGCCTGATTGTTTGCCTTGCGGACAAACGCACAAAGGCTACACTTGAACAACCCCGATGCCGGCAATTTGTTGTAGACTATCCTGCGCATCCTAAGCTGCGCTGGCGTGGGCGTTGATGTTTGCCGCTCGCCGTCTGGGTCTTCGGCAACGATGACCGGTGCAACCTCGGACATGATGCTACCACGCTGGGACTTTATGGGCCTTGCCCTTTTGGTGGTGGCAGGCCCCGTGGAAACCTTAGTGGAGCCTCTCTTGGCTGGGCTGGTCGGCCGCGTCCAAGTGGTGGAGGCAACAATGCTGCTGCTGCTGCGCTTGGCAGTGGATTTGGTGAAAACTGTTCCACCGTCAGAAGCCGCAGGGTCACCGCCAACGAGGAATCCTCCCGTGGGGTCAACGTTGATGTCAAGGATGTCACTTGGATAGCTCTTGTCATCGGGTTCTAAGAAGTCGAAGTGTTTGTCGGTGTAGAAAATTGCCGCTGTTCGTTTCTTGGAAGCTTTGCGGTGATAGGCACACACATGAAAGTTGGCATCTTCCGGCACAATAATGATGCGTACATCATAAATGCGGCACAAAGCGCGGAGCTCTGCCTCGCCAGCGTAGGCGCCGGGCTTGGAGACCTGGCTGAGGAAGGTCTCCCACTTGTCTAACGCATCACCAGTAGGACCGATTTTGCCGGCACTTTCCCAATGAATTCGGTACTGGTCCTCATAACGCTTCAGATGGTCAACCATGCGAGCGCGGAGTTCATGAGGATGTGGGGCCTCATAATCTTTACGCTTGGTAAGCCATTTCAGAGCTGCACTGAAACTGTGATACAGGCAATCGCCGTCACGGGGTTGAGGACGGAGCGTGGTGCCCTTGGTGCGGATCCTCTTCGGCGCAGGAGGTGGCTCTTTACTGTCATCTTGAGCAGTTGCGGTGGGCGGTTCGTGATTCTGCGGCGCGGTCGTGGAGACCTGCACTGGGTCCAAAATGCTGGTTTTGTCGAAAAAGGGGATGGCGCCGCCTTTGATCTGGCGCTGTTTACAATTGACCTGACGCGGCGGAGCAACCTTGGCCCATAATGTGAAAGGCTGCGGCGTGGGGCCTGGTTCGCTAAGTTGCACTACCAGGGGAACAAGGTCGACATCAGCTCCGCGCTTACAGGCGGCTCTGAAGACGAAGTTTTTCCATCCTTTTCTTTGGAGCTGGCGAAACATTGTAACTTCTGTGAAGAGTTCTTGCAATAGCTGCGCAACCTGCTGAAGATCCCATTCTTTAGGGGCGTGCTCCAGAATCCAAACCTTCTTAACAGGCGTTGAGGCGTCAGTAGGTCTTCTTCATCCCAGCGAGATGTCACGGCATGCCAAACCCAAATCACCGCGTGTGCGATTGACTCGGGTGAGGTAATCAGAATGGGATTCGGTTTTGGAGATTCTTGGAACCCATTCCACATGTTGGGCCTTGGCATTCTCTTTGGGTACTTGTACAAATATGCCCTGCTCTCCCGAAACCGCGAGCAGGGCAGAAGAATCGGCAGCAGCGATTCGAATGACTCCATACACCTGCTTGTGTCCACCCTTAAGTTGCTCTTCAGCAAATCCAAAGCAGTCGATGCAAAGGACGTGGTGCTGAGCAGTCCACAAAGCTATTTGCTTTTGAGGTCTTTCGACAAACCCTTTCCAGACGGCGCTGGACGCGAAAGCTTGGGGCACTTTCACGAACAAGACTGTGGTGGCCTTGGGCGTGATTTTGGCTGGGGCGGTTGTAATGCCGACGGGCTGGGGCGGCGCTTGCCCGTTAGAGCACAAGTGATAGGCGTAGGCATCAACCGAGCGTAACAACAGGCCTATTTGCCCCGGGATCTTCTCCTTGCGCGCGTTTTGTTTGAGACCATCCTTGGGGAAATCGCGGCAAGGAACCAGAAGTAGGAAGGCATGTGTCTTGGATGTGCCTGCAAAGAGGGACTGGGCGATTTGCACTTCATCGTAAGTGCACATCATGACGCCTTTGCACACTTCTCCGGGCTTAGTGTCCTCTAACTTTTTAGCAAGGCTGCCAAATGAGGTCAACGGAGCATTCCAATCTTGTTGTCGTAGCTGAAATGGCGCATCCGCATCGCGGTCTTTCTTACGTTGGATCGTTGTCCATCCCTCAGATTCCTCCGATTTGGAGGTGTTTTTACTCGTGTCTTTGGCAGGGCGCGGTTGCCTGTACGGAGGCGACTGGCCGCGACCGTTGAGTCCGTTGTCAACGGACTGAGGGCTGGAACCCTTGCCTTTGCCTTTCTTGCCTTCACCACCCTTGGCGGGGCCGGGCGGGGATTGCACAACAACATCCAGCAGCGGGGCTTTAGGGTTGGCGGCGCCTTCACCTTTGCCTTTTTTGGGCTTTGGCAGTGGCGCTTCGTTGCTAATGTTTCCGGCAAACTGTGACATTGCCGCTTGGACGGCAGCCTGGACAGCTGCCTGCACCTGTTGTTGTATTAGTGCTTGCAACCTACTGGTGAAATCCGCACCAAGAATGCTGCTCAGGTCAAACTGCATGGCTCCTAGTGCGTTTCCTTCAGGCGGTCCTGGGTTGGTTGCCTCCCCCACGCGTGTGGCATGGAGGAAACAATGATCGACAGTGGGTCGCGGACGACTGCTTCTCGACAGCCTAGGAAACCACAAACACAGGGAGCAATTGTGGAGAAAGGCAGACACTGCCAACCCATGTCAAGGTCGTTGTGCGCGGTGTGTGGTTGTTGGCGGTTGCTGCACGGCACCTGCTTCTGCTGGAGCTGGCTGCAAGCTGTTTGCTGTGGCACCTGCGCGGTACCTGCTACATCAGGTGGGCTTGGCGGGCCTCTAAATGTTAAAGGGCCACCAAGGAAATCACAACCAACCTCACAATCATAGACAGTGCTTGGACTGTGAGTTGAAAGTGGTGCACCTAAGAAGTCACAACCCTCGTTGTAAGTATGTTTGCAATCATGACTGAGGTCCAGACTGTGAGTGTCCTCGTGCAAGTGGTCCTCACAAGAGTCCGCACTCATGTGGTCCAGGATCATTACATCGACGGTGATGTCGGGCCCCACTGTCTCCGTCTCAGAGTAGTCCAGGATCTCCGCATAGGTGTCGAAGTCGTTTCTGCTTCTATCAACCTGCGGGTAATCCTGAATCAACTTATCGGCGAGGTCGGGCCTAACATCAGCATCATCATCAGCAGCTGCTGTCGTCCCTAGATCGCCGTTTGTGAATGCACCAATGGTCGCCGGCTGCATGAACCCGAAGTCTGCAGTATCAATCCAAAGCATGGTCAGGGGAACTCCCCATTGACACATCATTCTAGCAATATTCGCGATGGAGGCTTGTCTTTTGCAGAAGTCCTGGTAGACTCTTTCGACAAGCACTTGAAGAGTGTGAAGATTGCAATGAACATCCGGCGCTTCAGCTCTAGATGTTTTGATCCCGCCATCCGGCATTCTTCGATGTCGATGGCTATGTCCTCTCCATCCTAGTTGGACAGGTTCCCAAAGGTTTTGCTGCATGAGGCGCAGTTGTCGTTGTACATGGTAAAGATATCCGCAGCAGCCGCCCGAAGAAGGGGCCATCAGCGAGGAGGTTGTCTGCCAGTCGCTAGGTCGACTGTTGCCCGGCTCAAAGCTACGAGGAGCTCCCCTCCGCTTGAGCCTGCAGAAAATGTAGATTAGAATTTTTTGCTCCCCCACGGATACGTTTGTGTCAATTGTAGGATCCCACGTCTGGGTCCACGTTTTGCAGCTACCTCGTGCAGGGCAAGCCACGCATACCCCTGCTTATTTCGCTGGAAACGGACACTGGCAATTGTAGGAAAACATGCCCTACAATTGTGCACCCCCCGCCACTCCTACATTTATTAAGCGCCGGGGGGTATCTCTGCGAGATAGGCCGACATCTCGCTGTCCAGTACGCCATGGATAACTTAGCCAGCAAGGAGGCGGAGCAAAAGGCAGCGAAAGGAGGGCCAGCTGGCCATTGTGTCTCAGTGCCAGGACCGACCTAGTGGCCTTCACGAGTCCTGCCCATGGAGACCAGCTCCACAGACAGTGTCAGGGGCATCTGCGTTGAACCACCGTGACCCCAAAAAGTACAACCGTGAAGGCGACCCGAGATCGAAACCAGCAAGCACTCGAGCGCAAGGCACTCACACATCTCTGACCGGCACTGGGTGGAACTGCGGGTCAAAGCATGCCAAGGTTCAACCAAAAATTGCGCGCAAAGATGCCCGACAGGGATGCCCTGCCGATGCTGCAAAGGGCTTTCTCCCACGTGCCTGAATCTTGTAAATGGCGGGTAGCAGTGGTTGACATCGACCAGCGTGCTGGAGGGTGCACGTTTCGTGTCGGGCGACCACTCCGCCAGAGGCATTTGAGCGACTGCCAAAACCTGCTCGAGGTGCTAATGGACGAAACATGAGGGGTGTCGCTTTTCAAGTGTTCCCATCGTTTTACAGGGTTTTAGCATCAACTATCCACGCTTGATGTTTGTAGGTGTCGCTTTGGGAAAAATCAAGGCTATAGCACACCCAACGGTTCATTTACTTCGGGGCGTCGCTTTTCAAGTGTTCCCATCGTTTTACAGGGTTTTGGGCATTCGTGTCCATGCCTTACTTAATTGAATGGCTGGGGGTTTTGGCGCTTGCTCATTTTGGGACACGCAGGAGCCGTTTCAGGAGAGAGAAGCACCAAGACACTTTTGTTCAAAGGGTCCTAGAAAAGGATGGACCATGGGATAAGACTCTCTTAAACGTGGAATCCTTACTTAAAAGGGAACCGACCTTATGGTTTCTTTGTGGACAGGAAGTCTGTGCATGCGCAGGCCACAAGACCCTGCAGCTGCATGCGTGCCAGTGATAAGCACTCAAGCTTTCAGAAGGTATGGTACAGTGGTCTGGCGCTTGCAGCCGAAGCAGGCCTGACACGCAATGCTCGTGCCACCTTAACACCTGGCAAAATTAGCCCGTGGCCGTCTGATGCCCCCCTGTGGCCCTCGACAGTATGGCTTTGGGCAATCTCTTCCAATTTGGCCTTTTGCGTGATTGCACATGATCGTGGCACTGGACGCGACTATTCGTTTCTTAAGAAACGCACATACGATGCTGGGAGGAGGGACGGGGGGCTTGAGATCATGAACCGAACAGAAACTCAACCGCCAGGAGCTCAAGACAGTTGCGCATCACCAAGTAACAGGCACTCCGAGAGAGAAAAGCGTATACCCAGAGGCGTTACTTCTAACAGGCCCCCCCCCAGAGCAGGAGTTGCAAGAGCTGCAGGTGCCAAAACTGACTTCGAAGGGCATTCTAAAGCTGAGGGCAACGCCAAGCCATAGCTTGCAAGACAATCGCAATGTGCCGCGCGATCCACAAGCTCGGGCTTCTGCCATGTCTCAAAGGATGTGGGTTGGTGTTAACACAAAGCTCAGGGCGCTTAGGAATTCCAATGGAGTTCCTTCCCCTTACTGTTACAAGCCCTTCTAGGGATCTAATTGTCGGGATCTACTCATTTAGGACCCCTTAAAGCCTTAAAGGGTTTTTGTAATTTTGAGGAAAACAAAGGGAGGTAACACTTAGACCGGGCAAGGGGGGCACCCCAAACTAAGTTCGTCTAAGCCCCTGCCCCTTTGCACGAAGCCTCGTGGCCTTCTGCTAACTTCGTCGAACCTTCCCTGCGTTCGCAGGGGCATCTACTCTCCATGGGTTAGTCTTCGAGTCTTCCAGCTAACCCTTGGACCCTTCGTGAATCTGTCCTCAGGTTCGCAGAAGTTCGTGGCACCCGGTTCTGCCCCGCTAAGTTCGTGGAATGGGTGCCTGTTGCCCGTCAGGCGGTTACCTACCTCCGTGTTGCCCTGAGTAATGTTAGGAAGCGTCGGTTAATTTGATTCCCCCGCGACAAGACGCCTAACTTCAAGAAACTCCAATCTTTTTCTGCTAGTCCACTGCTCTTCCAACCCGTTGCAACCGTCACCATGTCGGCTTTCCTTTACGAGACTGACGATGGCAATGCGTAGCATGCAACACTTGCTTGCAGGTCGGCTTGGCTGATGGGAGGACATTCTCCGATGGTTCAATCGGAAATGACTGAATGACCACGACCTGTCGGAACGACCTCTTGGATGTCTGGGAAGCCGATTTTGACCAGCTTGGCTCCAAGATTCTCGACATGCGGCCAAAGCTTTCAAGCCGCGGCGAATGGACATTA